CCTGAACTTTCCGGAGTTCGGTCATTCCTAGGTTCGATCATTCCCGGGTTTGGTCATTCCGGGGTTTCGGTCATTGAGAGAATTCTTGAGTCCTAAATTCTTATTTTGGGGAGGTAACGTGGGGTCCTCAAGCCCTACTATTCAAGAGTACCCTTCGACTCTGAAGGTCTAGTATTAGGTAGTTACCTCTTGTACCTTCAGGTCCTAGTAATTCGCAGGACCCTTGGATTCTGAAGTCCTGATATTCGGTAGTACCCTTGAGTAGTCAAGTGCTACTATTTTGGACTACCTTTGAGTCATCAAGTCCTACAAGTGGGAGCATCTTTGGGTATTTAAGTTCTACTATTCGCACCTACCATTCAGTCTTGAAAAGCTACTACGGGCGGTGCTCTTGCGTCTTGAATCCTATCGTCGGCCTGAACACATTCATATCCTGTCCTTACAATTAGAGAGATAAGTCCTCCTGAAATCTAATTGGTCCGTTTTTCGAGTTTCTATTTGGGAGTGTTGGGATGGGTAGGAACCCATAAATATACCCATCAATCAATATAGCATCCTCAATAATTTATGAATGGCTCAAACATTTCCATACATCATCGTCACAATAAGAGAGAAAAGTCCTCCTGAAATTTGATTGGTTCATTCTTCAAGTTTCTATGGCTCAGTGTTGTAATAGGTAGGGACCCATACATATACCCGTCAATCGATTGAGCATCCGCGATAACCTATGAATGGCTAGAACATATCTAGATCATGTCCTTATAATGAGAGAAAAAAGGCCTCCTTTAATCTGATCAATCCATTTTTGGTACCGAGTAAGTAGGAAGTTTCTACTTGAGCACTGAAGCGTATCCGCTAATAGCAGAACTTGAGAACCAATGCATGCCCTAGAATACAAGGACTCGAAAACCCAAATATTAACCCTCAATAGTAGGACTTTAGGACTCAAAAATACTTTCAATGGCCGAACCCAGGGAACACCGAACACCCGAGAATGACCAAACCCGGGAATGATCGAACCTAGGAATGACCGAACTCCGGAAAGTTCAGGCTCGATGCATCCCTACCCACAGTCACAGCCACACCCCACACCCCACACCCACACTGACATACACACTCTCCACATCTACGTGCAGAGTCACCCTCCACGTCTACATCCACACTCACCCATACTCCACACCTTCAGTCACACTTAATAGGTAAGAGTCGTTTTAGTCAATATTATTAGTTTTACATTTTATTTCTTTTATCCTGCTCTATAAATGAAGAAAGTGAATTCATCAAGATCCCATGCTGTTCCCCAAATTGACCACGAATATCCGTTCTTTAATTGGGCAACATGCACTCTCCATGTACCAGGAAATTTATTATTGATTTTAGCGTATGCAGACTGTTGAACTGCAATTATATCTTTAATAGTTGTCGATCCGAATTCTGTATCCATAAATCGTTTGATTTCATTCCGGTCAATATCAATGCAAGTTGTTTTCTCTGCATAGACCCGGTGCTTGGAATGCCAATTAAGATATGAACTACAGCATCCTGCTTCATTCTCATATGTTGGATAGATGATCACATTCCAACATCCTCCAAAACTATCCTCTAATGCTTCCATGACCAACGTAGCTATGCCTATAGTTGCATTGTCTTTCTCAAGTTTGTCTAGTACTCCACATATAACTAGACTACTATTGCCGTCCATATTAGAAGTTCAAAAAAAGGTCATCGAGATAAAAAGGATATCACTCTAAGAAATTCGTACTTATTGAAGAATAAGTATACAATTAAGATGAGTTTTCGAATTAATATCTAAAACGATTTAATTTAAAAACAATATACAAAATCATAATCACAACCTTTTTTTCGCAAAGTACGAAGGTTCACGAATAACTTAGTATATCCACTCCGCTTCAATCGAATTGAACCAATTTTTCTGAGTGATATGGGATACTTTAAACTATCCTGTTCTAGGAAAATCAGTAATAGTAACTGTTTTAAACTATTAAGATTGATGGCAACAAAAAATAGCGTTTTTTTGATTTCATAAAAAAAACTTTCACAAACTGTGCTGCGCGTAATTCGAAGACTTTGCACCGAAACTTTGCCCAACGGTAACAGACCACTACAATATATCAACTTTCAAAGTGTTGTTATTCTGGTTAAGTTTTGGTTGAGATACTCATTTTTTAATAAATTCTTCATTCTAAAATTCCAAGTGCTCAATGAGATCGTATTTTGGAATCTACACCTTAAGTGTTGTGCATATTTTCATCTGAATTAAATTACCTAATGTATAAAATTTTAACGCTTTTGCATAGTTCTTCGAGGTATGCATGGTTCAAGATGCTAAGGTTTAATACGATATCAAGGGAATGGTGCCGAAATTTTGAAAAATGTATACTTTGGTAGACTAGTTCCCAAGATGTTAAAACTCGATGTATTAACTAGGGAAACTCGGATGGCAACAACTTCAATATTTCAGATTCGTATTCTAAAATAGGATTTCATTGAAAAGTTACAGTTGTTTGAATAAGAATATATTAAAACCGTAATACTTGGGTTGAAAGTAAAAAGAAGCACTGAATACATTCTACTGATTCTCTATCACTGGTCATAATATGGACTAAAAAGCTTTAAGGGTGTGGGATGTGGATAAAAAGAGACACCCACTTACCCATAGTTTCTGATACCCTCATGAACAGCACGTATTTCTCACATCCAAGTCCTTTTCTGGTGGGTGCCATATCGACTTGATCCATTTAGTCAGAGTCTCAAAAAGTGTTCGTCCAGAATTAGTCGGCGTTTTCAATAGTAACTTAACTTGCCATCGGCATTAAGATTGTCCTGAATGGATCTATTTTTAGGAAAAGAATATACTTTGGCTAGGCAATGACTTATGTCGATGATTATCTACAAGTGAGATTCAATGGCGCAGTAGATTTCCGACCATTTCTGGATGATGATTTCTTGAGATTCTGACTGGATAGATCGACGCGAAATGACTGGCAAAGAGATTTCAGTGTGTGCCATGAGATACTTATTTGGCTTTCTTTATCATGTTCATGATATCGTTCAGTGTGGAAAGAGTAGGCATCTGCAAAATCACTTTTTTTCGGTCCCGGTCCCGGTCCCGGTTTATTTTTTTTACTGGTACCGGTCCCGATTTATTTTTTTTGCTGATCCCAGTCTTCGATGACATTTTCTTAGAATTTTTAATTCTTGAATAGATATTAAATCTCTACGGATAATTTTGAATCAGTGTTACCGTTAGAACTAAATTTAACTTGTCAAGACTTACGATCACTAAGACTACGATTTTTTTACAGATAGTTTTACGACATTTCTGAAATTAAGTTGGTCCCGGTCCCGGTCCCGGCAGGACCGGGACCGGGACCGGGACCACCTTGCAGATGCCTAGGAAAGAGAGTAGCACATCCTAAAAGTCTCTTCCTGGAAATCATATCTGAGTATTTTTTTCATTTGACATGACTTAATGAGCATTTCTCAGAGGATATGTAGATCCTATGAGTTTATTTTTATCCAAACAAGTTTCAAAAGTATTGCTTAACAATGTTCCCTTCCGTCAAAATACAAAACTTAATCTTTTTTTCTACTTCCATAAAAACATCACGCAAAGTTTTTTCTTTCATTATTTCGACTCTATTTTTCAAAATAACCAAATCTTTAACCATCGCTTTACACATATTTGTTTGGCTGTTAATTAACAAGTACAGCTATCATTTTCAGACTTGAATAATTCTTGTATCACTATGGAACTTACAATGAATTTAAAAAACTTGCAGTATGATGCGAATGTAAAATGTCAAGCAAGTTGATCGTTGAACCCTTTCTTTTTAGTGTACTCAAAAAGTGAGTGCACTACTAGAATCGGTCAGTGTGGCCGTCCGGCCGTTTACACGATAACTTTTGAAAGGAGAGTCAGATCACGATGAAATTTTCTACACAGTTCAGTCTTAACAATATCTCGGTCGAGTTCGAAGATGAGTAGGATCAGCCGAGCCGTTCCTGAGTTATTGCAAAAATACTGATTTTTCCCTATGGCTTCCTATAGGAAAATCGATCTATCCCTACTTTTGTCAAATACTTTCTGTATCATAGTCAACTAAGTCCCCAACTATTATATACCATTCGATAGAGAATTTCAAGAGCTACAAAATGGTATAAAAACATAAGGAAACAAGAAGGCTAGCTCACCTGTTGCAAAGACAAATAAACGGAGATCGGTTGTGTTCTGATCTGCGCTCTCATCGATCCACAAGTAGAGTTCTATCTTCTGATCACGGAAGTGATAATTTGAGATTTTTTTGAACGGAGAACCCGGATCTGTACTTCATTGCTCCGAGATCCCATTGGCTGAGCACTGACCAACAGGAATCGAGTTATAGGAAAAATGAGTTTTCTGTAGTAAATCAAGGCAAAGAGTTCAAATCTGAGGTTTATTCATCCTGAAATCCTATGGGTGAAGCAATATCCAATAGAAATCAAAAGTTTAGAGGATGGGTTTCCCAGTATAATTTTGATGTCCAAACATTCGAGGTTGGCTGATTCTTTTGATTCACTTTTTGAAGTACACATAACTCTCGAATATAAATCCGAAGTTTCCGCATTTATT